CCCATACAGGGCTTTTTCCTAGTGATAAACAGTACAGGGCCAGCTGTGGGCGTTTTACACTGCCATTTCGTTTTAAGTGGAAACTGTCTCTAAAGTTCGAGGAGATCTGTGTGCATGTGTAGTAGAACCCTCCAAGAGTGGGGGTGGGGTGTCCACTCGTTCAGGCACCCCCTCTAGTCACAAAAATGGAGTTGCACAGACGGTGAGAGATCAATGAACAGATACAAAAAAATAAAAAAGAATGTCCACACCTTATCTTTGTGGTTCTGTCAGGCATCTGCGGGTGCTCTGATCCTTTGCCCTCTTAGTCTTTCCCAAGTGGCGGTTCCAGGAGTAGCTGAGCATCTTGGATTAGAAAGCAATGGATTTCTTGCTTCTGCTACAAATTCCCTTAGTTGTAAGCCTTCCAATCTTCTAAATATTCCTTTATATGTGGTTCAGAGTTCTAGGACCAATCCCTGAGCCTGCTTTGTCCGGTATTCTTGTTTGTTGTTGCTGAAGGAGCACCTCATTGCACTTCTACCTGATCCACCATCTTGTTTGTTCTCCCCAAGTCCTCTTCACTTTATCAAGCCAAGTGGCATCATATGCATATCGAAGGTTGTTAATAAGTCTTCCTCCAATCCTGATGTCAAATTCTTCTTCACACAATTCAGCTTTGCAGACTCTTTGTTCAGCAAACAGATTAACTATGGTGAGAGAATACAACCCTAGTGCATGCCTTTTCTAATTTTAACCATTCACTGACCCTCTGTTCTGTTTGAACAACTCCATCTCAGTCTATGTACAGGTTCCTTATGAGCATAATTAAGTGTTCCAGAATACACATTCTCCGCAATATTGTCTATAGCTTGTCATAATCCACAAAGCCAAACATACACATTCTCTGCAATATTGTCCATAGTTTGTCATAATCCACAAACAGATAAACATATTCCTTATATTCTCTGCTTTCAGCCAAGATCCACCTGACTTAAACAATGATGTCCCTCATTCCAAGACCTAAATCTGAATCCAGCTCGAACCTCTAGCAGTTCCTTATCAATGTATTCTTACAGCTGTTTTTGAATTATTACTAGCAATATGTTGTACTACACTCATAAAATCACCTATATGATGCTGAGGATATATAAAATATCTAAACAGCTCTTCAGAAGTTACAAAACATAGATAGATCTGACTAGCTATTTTATGTTGTTGTTGTTGTTAGGTGCTATTGAGTCACTACCAATTCATAGCGACCCTATGTACAACAGAACGGAATACTGTCCAATCCTGGGCCAACTTCACAATTGTTGCCACACTTGAGCCCACTGATGCTGCCACTTTGCCAATCCATCTCCCTGGGGTCTTCCTCTTTTTCTCTGACCCTCCATCTTACCAAGCATGATATCCTTCTCCAATGACTGGTCCCTCCTGACAATGTGTCCAAAGTATGAGAGATGAAGTTTGGCCATCCTGGCCTCCAAGGAGCACTGTGGCTGTACTTCTTCCAAAACAGATCTGTTGGTTCTTTTGGCAGGCACTTTCAATATTCTCCTCCAACACCATAACTCAAAAGCATCACCTCTTCTACAATTTTCCTTATTCACTGTCCAGCTTTCCCATGCATATGAGGTTATTGTGAATACCCTGGTTTGCGTCAGGCACACCTTAGTCCTCAAGCTGACATCTTTGCTCATCAACATTTCAAAAAGATCTTGTGCATCAGATTTGCCTTGATCTTTTGATTGCTGCTTCCATGAGTGTTGACAGTTGATCCAAGAAGAATGAAGTTCTTGAGAACTTCAATCTTTTCTCCATTGATAAGAATGTTTATTGGTCCAGTGGTGAGGGTTTTTATTTTCCTTACATTGAGATGCAATCCATACCGAAGGCTGTGGTCTTTGATTTTCATCAATAAATATTTTAAGTCCTCTTAAAAAAAAGCAAGCAAGGTTGTATCATCTGCATATTACAGGCTGCTAATGAGTCTTCCTCCAATCCTGATGCCACATTTTTCTTCATATAACCCAGTTTCTCAGAGTATTTCCTCAGCATACAGGTTGAATGTTGTTGTTGTTGTAGTTAAGTGCCATTGAGTCGGTTCCGACCCATAGCTACCCTGTACAGAGTTTCCGAGGAGCAGCTGGTGGGCTTGAACCACCTACTTTGCAGTTCAAATGACTTTGCAGTCTGGCGCATTAACTCACAGTGCCACACCAGGATGAATAAGTATGGTGAAGGAATACAACCTTGTCACACAGCTTTCTTAATTTTAAACCATTCAGTGTTCCCATGTTCTGTTTGAACAACTGCCTCTTGTTCTATGTACAGATTCCTCATAAGCAAAATCAAGTGTTCTGGAATACTCATACTCCACAATGTTGTCCATAGCTTGTTATGATCCACACAATTTAAAGTCTTTGTGTAGTCAATAAAGCACAGGTAAACATCTTTCTGATATTCTCTGCTTTCAGCCAATATCCATCAGATATAAGCAATGATATTCCTCGTTCCATGGCCTCTTCTGAATCAGGATTGAGCCTCTGGAAGTATGTAGGCTTGTTAAAATCAAAAATGAACTCTAGGCTTGGACATTGGATACTCAAATGGGGAGGGGGGGACTACAAAGGCAATAAGTGACTGGCTTACAAGCTTTCAAGAGGGAACCTGGTGCTAGGGAGCATGGCGGAAGGCAGAAGCTCCAGATGGGTAACTTGTGATACTGTAGCGAATAATGCTAATCAGGATGGATTATGAGGGTTGGAAATGCAAAGGTAGAAGTTTTGTAACAAGGAAGGGCGTGATTAATTCTCCAAGATAGGAGCGGAGGCCTCTGGGACCATCAACGGAGAAGAGGCGAGAGTGAGACCCTGCCTAGAGAAACAGAGATGCCTGAGATGGATACAGTGATGATGACGTGGAGTGATGAAGAGACTGGGGACTTTGGACCCAGAGAGGGAAAGGGACTGTGGGCGGAAAACTGGGGGGAGGAAGGGGAAGTGTAGGGGGCAGGTTTCTGGGATATACCCTTTGGGTGGTTGGTGATGCATGGAGGGGATTGGAACCATGGCAGTGAGATGATATACGATGGAATGAATGTAAAACTGAAGTTCTCCCATGTAAACTATCATATAATTCACAATAAAACAAAACAAAACAACAAAAAAAAATGAACTCTAGGATACAGGAAAAATAGAAACAGAGATATAAAGCTGCTTTTAAGTTCTTAGTCATATAAAATTATTATCTTAGTGTTGGTTATGGTGGTATGCCGTAGAGTCAGTTCTGACTCAGAGTGACCCTGAAAAGGCAGTAAATCTTTACAGGAGCAGAAAGATTCATCTTTCTCTTATAGAGTGTCTGGTAAATTTGATATGCTGACCTTGTGGTTAGCAGCCCAATGTGTAACCACTACACTACCAGAGCTTCTTATTGTTTTAAGGGGAGAAAAAAAAACAGGAAATGAAAGATAATGGAATTCTTCCAAGAACATTTTGAAGTATGCCCAGATCTTTTTTGTTGTGTGCTGTCATGTGGCTCTGACTCATAGCAACCCTATGTATAATAGAAACATTGGCTATTCTCACAGTAGTAGGTAGTTTCAAGCCTACTGTTGCAGTCACTGTCAATCCATTTTCTTGAGGGTCTTCCTCTTTTTACTGACTTTGTAAAAAGCATGATATCCTTTTCCAGGAACAGGTCCCTACTGATAACTTAGCAGAACAAAGTACATGAGATGAAGTCTCACCATCTCAATTTAAGGAGTATTCTAGATACACTTCTTTGAAGACAGACTTGATCATTCTTCTGGCAGGCCAAAATATATTCAATATTCTTTGCCAACATCATAATTCAAATGCACCAATTATTCTCCAGTTTTCCTTACAGCTTTTGCATGCATATGAGGTGACTGAAAATACCATGTTATCAAAGTGATCGCTGCTTTTTAAGATTTTAAAGAGGTCTTTCTGTAGCAGATTTTTCCAATGCGATACATGATTTCATTTATTGACTGCTGCTTCCATGAGATTGATTGTGAATCCAAGTAAAATGAAAACTGAGAACTACTGGTGGGGAAAAGGCAGGAAAGTTGTGCAAAGGAATAATTTTCATATCACAACAATGTACCTGTTCATTCTTTCAGGGCAATAAGGGTTATCCTAACAGAATATTGTAGGGAACCCTTACCCAATCCAACCTTCAGCCCTGATCATCCTCATTAGGATTTTTTGTAGCTGTTCCCTAAACTCAATAGGAACATGATTTGAATTCTTGAAGAACTGCTGTTTTGACATGGTATAAATTGAAGAATACAGAATATGGGGGGAAGGGTTATAAATAGATGGAAACACTGCTTGCAGAAGTGTTGTTGTTGTTAAGTGCCGTCGAGTCGGTTCCGACCCATAGCGACCCTGTACAGGGTTTCCGAGGGTATAAATCCTTACGGAAGTGTACAGACCTAGAAATATTTGCTGAGTAACAATAACTTCCCATTTTGATATTTTTATTTAATAAAAATTATCTAGGATTTCATAGCAATAGTCTTTGCCCTCATATTAATGTGTTGTAGTGGTTGTTTCATTTTAAGTATCAAGCAAGGGCATACTGCAAGTTAAAATTAATTCTCAACCACTTTAAAATCAACATTGTTTTACAAATGAACTTTCATTACACAAATTAGAAATAATTGACATATATACAGATTCCAGATATAACTGTGAAACTTTTCAAATACAATTTACAAACCTGTGCAAAAATTTTTACCAGCCGTGAGTTGTGTGAGGGTCTAATTTGCAAATATTCTCTCCACCACTGTTTAGCATATACAAGAAACAACCGTTCTCTCTCTGCAGTTTTTTGTCGTTCCAAAGCAAGCTTGCAATGAAAAAAAATTTTTGCAATGACTGTTAATTAAATTTACATAAAATATGTAACAATTCTATCTACTGTTCTCCATCTCTATCATCACCCTAATCCAATCTACCATCATCTCTTCTCTGGCCTCTTAGCTGACTTCCCTGTTCCTGTATTTCCTCTAAATACATCCATTTTCCATGCCATAGGCTTCTTTTCACAAATGAGATTTAAATATAATAAATCATATTCTGCCATTTCCTTGCTTAAACTATTTCAATTGTTTCTCATCACACCACAAACTACTTGTCCTAGTCTATAAAGTCTAACCCCTGCTGGCAGAGATGTTTTCATCCCCCATAATCATTATACTTTTACTACACAGGATTCCTTCTGCTTCTGCCTAAGGTCTTGAGCACTAATTTGTTCCCACTATCTGGAATGGCTGGTCCCAATTTGAGATTGCTGGCTTCTTTTTGTTGTTCATATCTTTCTCTAGTCATGTGATCTAAAGTGATTTCCCAGTATCAACTCTCTTATATCACTTTCCCACATAGTCCCTTATAATGTGTTTATTGTCATCTCCCCACCACAAGTTAAGTTCCTCAAGAGCAAGCTGACTTGTGAACAGCTATAGATACTCATGGAGTCTAGTGTGGTGCCGAGGATAAGCACTTGACTTTGAAAACCATATATACGGTGGCTATGAATTGGAACCGACTCAAAAGCACTTAACAACAACAATCTAAAAACTAACTCAAAGTATGTCTTTATTTTTAAAAAAAAGTACGTTCTAAGGTGAGTAGGTAGGTAAATGTACTAATATGATAATATAAAGATAAATTCAAAAGTACTTACCTGTGTGTTTACTACTTCCTGAGACAACATTTGATTAAGTGGTGGGTACATCTCAAGTTTTATACTTAAAATTCCCACAGAAACCTTTGATTCTGTTCCTGCAAATATAAATATTTAGAAATTCAGAGGTTTCAATATTATGTAAATTTGAGCAACCAAAGTCTAATCATAACATAACAGTCAGAAATTTAGTGCTTTATCACATATAAGCTATAAAGACAGTATTCAACTTTGTCTTTGGTATATTAAACAGCACATTACAGATTTTAGTTTTTATATAGCTATTTTCTATTTATACGATTATTTTATGAGCTCCTGAATCACAACTTAAAGGAACTTTTGAGACCAAAGGATTTGGAATTCTTAATTTTTATCTTCATTAATGTACACTACTAACCAGATGTACACGAAATACAGTCACTGCAACTACTAACATCTAATTCTGACTCCTTGGGGAAAATGTCAGAAAGCACTGATAATCTTTAATCTGTACATATGGAGTAAGTTTCAACACAACTTGTTTGTGTTTGTTGTACTGTGGAGGTCTGTGTGTTAATGTGATGTTGGAAGTTATGCAATTGGTATTTTAAATACCAGCAAGATCACTCACGGTGCACAGGCTTTAGCAGAGATTTCAGATTAAGACAGACTAGGTAGGAGAGGTTGACCACTTCTGAATGGTGAGCTACCGAAAACTTTTTCAATAGGAATGAAACATTGTCTGATACAGTGCCAGAATATGAGTTCCTCAGGTTGAAAGGTACTCACAAAGTAGAGGTGACTTTAATGAAATGGATGGAGCAACTCAAAATGATAAGAAACAGCTGCAAGCATCCATTAATTATCAAAACATGGAATATATGAAGTATGTTATTATTAAGTGCTATCAAGTTAGTTCTGACTCATAGCGACCCTGTATAGGGTTTCTGAGGAGTGGCTGGTGACATTGAACCACCAACCTTGTAGTTCAAATAGACTTTGAGGTCCAGTGCTTATTCTAGAGTACCACACCAGGGCTCTTTTAACTTTATATCTTATTTGATAATAAGCTCTTGAGAAATCTCGCCATTAACCCATAAAACATTAGCCAAAAAAGATAAACACTTTGAGTGTAACAAATAAAATCCCTTTTGTCAAAAAACAAACATACATTTAAAAACAAACTGTGGCTAAAAAAGGAAACAATGATATAAATCATCATACCTACACCCATAAGTTCCACAGTAAGGTTGGTTACTCCATTTTCTGAGCCCAAAACTGATCGCCACTCAAGAAAATAGGATGCTATTAAAGTTGTTTCACCAAATATGTCAGTTTTAATTAGCACCATATGAACTGGATCACTTATTGACAGCATTGTTGTGGAGTCAGCCATTCTAGTTCCATCACCTAGCAATATAAACCAAAGAAAAGAACATATATATTTAGTCAAACCAACAAAAAAGAACAACTTATTGAAAGCTACATCAAATAATGAAGTTACATGAATCCCAATAGAATAATTTGGCAATGCTTTAGAAAGCATGCAACCAACTAGGACTAAATGTATAGTCTTTTTCTATCACTAGCTAACAAGAGGCCTGATAAAGTCTTAAGGATTTTCAATTGAATTTACACTTCAGTGGAGTTTTAAGGAGTTATGGCATATCAATGCCTTCTGATGTGTAAAACACAGTAAATCTCTTCTCAAAAACTACTTAAGGAAAGTACACACCCAAACCTACTCCCATCAAATCAATTCTAACTCATAGTGACCCTGTGGAAGATTTCTAAGGTTGTAAATCTTTATGGGAACAGAAAACCTTTCACAGAGTAGCTGGTGGGTCTGAACTCCCAATCTTGCAATAGCAGTCCATTGTCACTATATATAAAAAGCCTCCAACTGTACTAACATTAATTATCAAGTTATTATTTCTCAGTCTCCAGAAATAATCACTGAAAACCCAATTCCTTAGATCTAGCAATTCATTCAATTACTTGCCTTAATTAGTTAAAAATTTTCAGGGGGGGAACAGTTCAAACCTACCTCTTAGTTAACAGTCCAGTGTTTATACTACAGCACCACACCAAGACTCAGTACTGTATTAGTCACCTTAATAATCTAAAATTCTACAACTTTGTAAAATTTTAGATTTCTATATTGACAACAAAAATGTAAAAAATACCTTTTATAGAAACGATGTAAGACAATTATAAGAACCAAGTATTATCATTTTAATGCTATAAAAATAAAATCGGTAGATTCACATCTGAAGTTTGCTTTTTCAAAGCTGCATACCATCATAAACCTTCCTTCATAAATCCTTCACTATGCTTCATTCATAAATGAGGTGACTCATGCATATCTCAGAACTACATCCCCAGTATAGGAACTAAAAAGTTTATTACAACAGAACCAACTTTCAAAGTACTCAAAAAGTAACCTTTAGGGAAAATTTATTAGTAAACAGAATAAAATAAGAAGGTGGACAGAAGTTTAAATAGACTAGAGGAGCACAGGAGGGAAAAAAATAAAAGTCACAGATTTGTACATTATATATCTCTCCTTATAGCGAAAGATGTTATAACTGTCTGTAATAAAACCTAACAAAAATTTACTCAACTAAATAACAATTTATTATGGTTCCTTACCTAAGCTTTCTCTGTGTACTTCAAGTAAAAAACCATCATGAAAATCTGGTTCACAGGCACATGGAACAGGTTTAGAACGAAAACGTTGGTTTCGAAAATGTAAACATAAAGTAAAAGTCGAACAAACTTGTCCTGGTAAAGGCTCAGGTTCTTGCAGATGTTCCAAGAAAGCTTTTCCACCCAAAACCTGAAGGTAAAGATACCTCCGTGTTGGATCAATATTAGCTGCAAAGTGTAGCAACATATATGAGGAAACTGCCAAAATAACTTAAGGAATGTGATCAAGACAATAGGAATTAATAACTTGACAGGAATGAAACCAAAGACTAATAAACAAGAAAGAATAACAAATTTACTGCATATCAGGATCACGTACAAATAGGGATGATATCTAATCTAATATGACATCCTTTTCTGAGCTTGTATTCTAGCTACTTTCTCCCAGCTAGGAAGATATTAGAGACGAAGTTTAGCATGCTTTTGTTATTTTTTAGCTCTTAATTCAATATTCCTTCCATTTTAAACCAACTTAGACAACAATCAAAGGCGAGCAATTTTGTCAAATAATTACATTGCCATTAAAAACACAAAGCTGTATGTTGTTGTTGTTATGTGCCGTGGAGTCAGTTCTGACTGATCGTGACCCTGTACAGGGTTTCCGAGGCTGTAAATATTTACAGGAGCAGAAAGCCTTATCTTTCTCCCACGGAATAGCTGGTAGTTTCGAACTGCTGACCTAGTGGTTCACAGCCCGATTTGTAACCACTATGCTACCAGAGCTCCTTATAGTTTTAAACAAAATTAATTATTAAGAAACATGTTCCTATGCTTGCTCCTACTGTACCATACATGAAACCTCCTGATATACCTCATGCAAAACAGCAGCAAAGTTTTAACTGACTGACCATAAATATTTTACAACTTCATTTTGGGGAAACACCCCAACAACTTGAAGTGATATCTATTAAATTTCAAACATTACAGCAGGTCCATTAGAATCTACAGCTAGACTGTTGTGGAAAACAATAACTATAAAACACATACTTTTTTTTAACGTTGACTGTCTATCAGTAAAACAAGCATGTTGTTTTGGAGAGGTAGGGCATTCTTGATCAACACTGTCCTAGAAAAGTAAAAGAAAAGAATAAATCAAAGGAAATCAGAAAAAAAAAATTATGTTTCATCAAGAAAATGTCAATAAAGGACTAAACACTGAACCAGAGTAGTTAGGATCAGGGTGCCCTAGTATTTTCCTAGTAAAATAACGAAAATAAAAGTTTTCATAAAGGATAATACAATTAGTCACTCCTAAAAGGCTAATACTAAGAAATTACAATTGTTTTCATACAATGCTTAAAACAGAAGTGTTAAAAATAAATCCTTAATACTTTTAGTAAAGTTAAATTTTCTCTAAAATTCAAATAGCATTTGGTTTATATGGGGTCATGGACAGATTTTAATAAGGAAACAGCATTTAAACAGCAGAAACTGTTATTAGGTCATTTAAAATAATAAATAGGTTTCTAAACCTCAAAAACTAAAATAAGAATGCTGTATTAAATACTTATTCCTTGGTGTATTATAAAGTCCATTCCAATTTTTATATTAGATTATCCAGGTATTGAGGTCACACCTTCTCATTATTGCTTCATTTTCAAAAGAAGGTCTAGTTACTAATTATGCACTGACCTACTTGTAGGAAAAGATTAAGAGATAACTGTCATTATTAAAAGAAGGATATTTTCCAAAATATTATTTGTTATATTAAAAGGTATACTTTTAATACTTTATACTTGATATAAGGATATTATTGGACAAAAGGCATACTTGAAGGGTGATTATGGTCCCAAATATGAATCCAACAAAGTGTCAAGTGTGAGAATATACTTACACCCTCAATTCTTTCCCCTAAATGATTACTCACAGTAATAAAATTAAGTTCTTTCATCACATCATCAATAATTCCTCTGCGTTTAAGAGCTTTGATCAAATCCTCTGTTGATAATTGTTGTTGATCAGGTGCCAATTCTTCACGTATTGTCTCAGCAAGTATCTCTCGTATTCTGCCATGGACATCCATCTATATAGAAAACTTGCATTACAATTTGGTTTTCTCCTCATGAGCATGAACACCAAAGTATACAAATATTACCAATTCTTTCATTTATTTCTAAAATACTCAGAATAATAAAGGAAAAATAATGGGCATAACCAAAACACAATGAGAATGTCAAAACAATGTGAACAATGTAACAAATGTCATTGATTATTGGAAATTGTCCAAGGGAGTACCTAATGTGTGGTGTAAACCTTCACCAAAAACACATTATCTAAAAATAATAACTGAGGGTAGAGAAGAAACTAGGAAGTTGGAGTCTTGGCCTTGGCAAACCAAAACTGTTACCATATTTCAATGAGTCTAAAGATAAGTGGTTTTGTTGTGGTGGTGGTTTTTGGAAAATAAATAAATAAATAAATACAGCAATTTCTTTAAGAAATAGTCTCTACTTGGTATCTGCTGTATTACTTTTTCGGCACAAATAAGACTCAACTAAAATGTACATTTTGAGAAGGAATATAGTAAACGCAAAAGAATATGGCATAGGAAAATCTTTGTTTGAATTTGCTTTCAACTTACTATAGGTGGTTTGAACTGCAAGGTCAGCGGTTCAAGCTCACCAGTTGCTCCTTGGAAACCCTATACAGGATCGCAATCGACTCGACAGCACTTCACAACAACAATCTTGACGCAACTATCTTGAGGTGTAATCTTGAGGCAATTTAACCTTTCTTAAATGTTTCTCCATTTATAAAATAGGGAAAATATTGCCTTTTCACAAATATTGTGAAGGTTAGATAAAAGATGCTCAAAACCTAGCACTGAGCCTGAAATGTTAATAGGCTTTTAATAAGTTTGACTCTCAGCGACTGTTAAGTTTTCCGAGAAGCAGTTTGTGGTTTTGAACAGCAGATCTTGCGATTGGCAGTCCAGTGATTATCCAACAGTGCTCCTGTAGGAGGATTTCCAAGGAGTGGCTGGTGGGTTAAACCGCCAACCTTTCGGTTAGCAGTACTCGACACAAGTTCACAATACATGGCAGTTTTTAATATTTCAATGTCCAGTTTTCTTAAATTAAAATTGCATTAAATGCTTAGAATTCTGTGTTCTTCATGAACTCTGAAGCATCTTAACAACCGCTCTTCCAAGATTTGAGAACAGCAGATTTAATCCATTGGCTCAATTTCAACGACACCCCTTTGTTTCATCTTTAAATAAATTCTGAACACAGATTTGATTTCCAGAAACGGCCCGATCAACTCTTCATTTTTACAGCGATTCTACAGTACCGGAAGCGTCTGATCCAGCTGAGACTCGTTTTCTTTTTAGCAAGTCCAGTAAGTTTTAAACCCAAGTTTCACCCTACTAGCTCTGCTCCCACTGCCCAACCTGAACTCCGCGAAACGGAAGGGAGGAGACCCTGCGCCCTCACCTTGTTCAGCTGTTGGTGGATGAGCTGCTTCAGCTCGGAGGCTTTCTCCGCGGGCAGCGACATGCCTCTGGTCGTAACACTCCGCCAGTGTTTCCTGGCCTGATAGCTCCAATGTCAGTCCCGCCTTCAAGGCCAACACCAAAGCCTTGGAACAGCAACGGCGTCACCACCCAGCTAACGTTCCCAGGGCGGGGCGTCGAGTGGTGCAGAGCCTAGGAACGGAAACTAGATCTCCGGAATGCCCCCAGCGCTGCCTGAAAGGCCCCAAGCGGTGGCCTCCGGCCCCCTTTGTCGCCACATTACAACTACCTCGTACCCACCGAAGAGCCTTTCTAGGGTCTCTGAACGTGCTGCCTTCACGTCTCCGGTACCACTGCAGTGTCTCCCGCTCTTAGAGCAGGCAGTCAACCTGGAAGGCCCTGTAGGACACAGCCCAGAGAGGACGCAGGACCCCGCCCGCTCGCATTTCCGCTCTGCCCGCTCCTTCCCTTCCGAGTTCTTGTTGGGGTCTCCCGGCTGAGAGCAATTGAATACGTGCAGACGGCGCGAGCTCATAGGTCGACTTCTTCACCGCCCTTGTTCTTTCCTTTCGTCCACCACCAAGCTGCGGCCATGTTTGTTCCCTGCGCGGAACCGGCGCCTGAGCTAACGGGCTTCACTCTCCTGATGGTGAGTCCCCGAGGCCTTGGTGTGCTGTCGTCGGTCCCAATAGGGCCTGCTGTACCGCCACCCGGTATCGAAACGCTCAGGAATTTGGGATGAAGAAAGCGCTTTTTTCTATGTCTGGTTTTCAGCCTTGAGTAGATGTTGTTACTGGCGACAGCTGCCCAAAAGAACGTTTGTGGGAACTATAAACATATTCAAGTCGGCAATTTAATAGATGTAAAACGGAAAATGTTGTTAGGTACCATGATTTCGGTTCCAATTCATATCGTCCTTATGCACACCAGAACGAAAGAGTGCCTGGTCCTGGGCCATCTCAGTCAATGCTATGCAGCCACTGTACCAGTCCATCTTGTTGGCGGTCTTCCTCTTTTTCACTCATCCTTTGCTTTATCAAGCATGATGTCCTTCTCCAGGGACTGGTCCCTCCTAATAATATGTCCGAAATATGAAGGGCAAAGTCTTGCCATCCTGGCTTCTAAGGAGCACTGTAGCTGTACTTCATATTGAACATACCATAGTTAGAGTCATGCACACCTTAGTCCTCAAACTGACATCTTTCCTCTAGAGTACTTAAAAAAAAATGTCTTGTGCAGCAGGTTTGCCTAATGCAGTACATGCTCTGATTTCTTGATTGCTGCTTCCTTGAGTGTTGATAGTGCATTCCAAGCAAAATGAAGTCCTGACTTTTCTCAGTTTATATGGATGTTATTTGTTAGTCCAATGTAAGGATTTTTGTTTTCTTTACATTGAGGTGTAACTCACATTGAAGGCTGTGGTCTTTGATCTTCATCAGTAGTAGTTTAAGTCCCCATCGCTTTCAGCAAGCAAAATTGTATCATATTATACATATCACGGGTTGCTACTGTGTCTTTCTCCAATCATAATGCCACTTCATATAATCCAGCTTCTGAGATTATTTGTTCAGTAGACAGGAGCTCTGGTAGCATAGTGGTTACAAATTGGGCTATACAGGGTCACTATGATTCATAACTGACTTGACAGCACTTAACAACTATAGGCAAAATATTGAATCATTCAGAAAGCATCTAAAGAAGATGGAAGAAATACAGTCACTGTGCCAAAAAGAAATGGTGGACTTTCAACCATTTCAAGAGGTAGCATATCATCAGGAGCCATTGATACTGAAGGAAGAAGTCCAAGTGCACAGAAGGTATTGGCAAAGAACAAGGCTCTGGGAATTGATGGAATTAAACAGAAATCTTTCAACAAACTGATGTACTGGAGACAATCTCTCACCATACTTACTCAGTCTGCTTGCAGAAGCTAGATTATATGAAGAAAAATGTGGCATCAGGATTGGAGAAAGACTCATAAACAATATGCAGTTGTAATAAGCAGATGATACAACCTTCCTTGCTGAAAGTAAAGAGGACTTAAAAGTACTTACAAAAGAAGGTTCAGACTACAGCTTTCAGTATAAATTGCACCTCAATATAGAGAAAACAAAAGTCCTCACCACTGGACCAATAAATACCATCATGATAAATGGGGAAAAAAATTGAAGTTGTCAAAGACTTTGTTTTGCTTGGATCAACTAACAACACTCAGTGAAGCAGCAGTCAAGAAATCAAACAACGTATTGCATTAGGCAAATCTGCTGCACAAGACCTTTTCAGAGTGTTCAAGAGCAACAATATCTGTATGAGGACTGAGGTGTTCCTGACCCAGGCCATGGTATTTTCAGTAACCACATATCCATGTAAAAATTGGACAGTGAAAAAGGAAGACCATAGGAGAATTGATACATTTGAATTATCATGTTAGAGAAGAATATTTGAAGTACCATGGACTGCCAGAAGAACAGACAAATCTGTGATGGAAGAAGTACAGTCAGAATGCTATTTAAATGTCAAAATGGCCAGACTCTTCTTTTAAACTTAAGACAAATGATCAGGGCAACCAGTCCCTGGAGAAGGACATCATGTTTGGTAAAGTGGAGGGTCAGCCAAAAACAGAGGCATCACCAACTAGATGTTGGTATATCTGAGGCTCAAGCATGGCAGTAATTGTGAGGATGGCATGGGACTGGGCAGTGTTTTGTTCTGTTGTACATAGGGTTGCTATGGGTCGGAACCGACTTGATAGCACCTAACAACAAAGAATGATGACACAGTGGAATGTGGAAATTATCCAACAATGTCATTGTTAGAATGCAAATATGTTACTTTGAAGGCTGGGATGCTCTTAACCGAAGCCAAGGTATTTTCACTTGGCCTTGTATACATGCAAAAGCTGGACAATGAATAAGGAAGGTAAAAGAATTGATGCATTTGAGTTACGGTGTTGGCAAAAAATATTGACTGTTCCGTGGACTGCCAAAAGAATAAACAAATCTGTGTTCCTTGAAAGCAAGGATGGCAAGACATTATCCCATATACTTAGGACATGTTATTTGAAGGGACCAGTCTCTGGAGAAGGACATCATGCTTGGAACTGACTTAATGATACCTAACAACAGCAACAAAGTTATAATGGTAATATTAGTAAATAGTTAACAGTGGAGTGGTGGAAAGTGTACATTGAATTAAAGCGAGACGTGGAAACGTGTCTACATTTAGGATAAAGTTCTTGCTATGTTTTAGTGGACAACTGTTGGAGATTTTTATGTAGTGACGTTGAGAAATGGGTGGTAGATAGATGGGGATATACAATCAAGGGAGAGTTGTAATTTTTACAAAAACAGGTTCTCTCATGTTTGTTTCTTGGAGCAGCTGGTGGGTTTTAATTAGGGAGAGAGATGGCATAAAGAAAGAAACAAAGTATTTGAGAGAGAGAGGGTAATTAACGTAGGTCACTAGGGAATTGGACAATGACAGCTCTAAGCAGTGGGAAAGCACTTAGGGTTCCAGTAAAACAAGTGAAGGCCAGTAAAAATCAGTAGCTGAAGTAGTTCTATAAAAGAGATGCTTTCGAGATTGAATCAATAAATATTTGTCATGTATTACATATGATAGCAAATAAAGAAAACACCTATTTTAAGTGATTGGGGTGAATGATGTGAACGATTGGGATAATGTCTTGTCATCCTTGCTTTCAAGGAACATTCTGGCTATACTTCTTCTGAAATATAAAATTTTATATTTTCTGAAATATAAAACGTAGGGAAAGTTTAGTTTTGTGCATATTTAATGTGAGCTGCCTGTGCCATACCACGTAGCGATATCCATTGGGTTCTTGAGCTTTAGATTTGGCAGTTAGCTATTTGAAGTTCTGGGGGGTGCAATAACCATGTGGCAGCCATGTCTGACTTTCTCTGGCTTCACATTTTAAGCAGAAGTCCAGTCCACTAAATTGTAGCAATTTACATTTGCTTATTGTATCAAATATCTTTGTCTTCATCTAGTATGGTTCTGGTCAGTTCAGCCCTAGTCATCCAAGCTAGGTCAAATGGATACCAGCTATAAATTTGGGACTTTTCACACACTTCAGATCAGTTGGACCCTTCATTCTCCCAGTCCTAGTCTCCAGGGGCTAGGTCGGTGCCCATTAACTTAAGAATTCTCATAGCTCCTTACACTTAAGGCCAGCCAGCCCCTCATCTGCTTTCTCATCTCTAGCCACTGTGGACATGGTCAGTGGATGCTAGTAGAATATTTCCAAATTCAGTTTGTCTCTTCATAGCTGTGCTTCCCTCACTTTGACTCAACAAGTCAACCCAGGTGGTTGCCAGTGAGCATACTAGATACTCTCCTGCTCGCCAGCTCCCTTTAACTTTTGGTCCTAGAAAGGGTTTTTTTTTGATGACCACAGACTTTTTTGACTTGATACCTACAAGTTAGTTTTTCTTGAAACTCAAAAAGCCTAACAGTCTGCCACATTTTTTCCCCTAGCAGGTCTCTTTCAGTCATAAATCTTCCTGTTTTCTCAGCAGTTCTGGGTACGGCTCAGGATTCCACATAAGGACTCATATTCTGTACAGGCTTAAAACAAAAGCCAATTTCTTCTTGGTAAATTCTAGTTCCCCTTTTAGCAATTCCAGTCAAGTATAAGCCAAAGGCAGGCTTATAAGCTCTCTGTAATCATAATTCCCAATATTCATATTTATCACATGTATGACTACTGCTTACATAAGCAGCAGTCAAGAAATCAAATGATGTATTTCATTAGGCAAATCTGCTGCACAAGACCTTTTTAAAATGTTGAAGAGCAAAGATGTCAACTTGAGGACTAAGGTGCGCCTGAACCAAGCCATAGTATTTTCAGTAATCTCATATGCATGTGAAAGCTGGACAGTAAATAAGGAAGACCATAGAAGAATTGACGCATTTGAGTTATGGTGTTGGATGAGAATATTGAAAGTACTATGGGCTGCCAAAAGAACCAACATATCTGTATTGGGAGAAGTGCAGTCAGAGTGTTCCTTGGAGGCCAGGATGGCCAAACTTCATCTCTCATACTTCAGACATATTGTCAGGAGGGACCGGTTGCTAGAGAAGGATATCATGTTTGGTAAGCTGGAGGGTCAGAGAAAAGGAGGAAGACTCTCAATGAGATGTATTGGCCAAGTGACAGCATCAGTGGACTCAAGCATGGCAACAGTAGTGAGGTTGGCCCAGGATCAGGCAGTGTTTTGTTCTGCTGTGCATAGGGTTGCTATGAGTCAGTACCAATTCCATGGCACCTAACAATAATGTGTATTTTACATTAGGCAGGAGAAACCAGTATAAGACAGTCAAACACATAAACCTTTTGTTGTTGTTATATGCTATGGAGTCGGTTCTGACTCATAGCAACCCTGTACAGGGTTTCCGAGACTAAATCTTTACAGGAGCAGAAAGCCTCATGTTTCTCCCATGGAACAGCTGGTATTTTTGAACTCCTGACTCTGAGGTTAGCAGCGTTTTAGAAACACTCAAATTCAATCTTTCCTTCTCTCTTCTTGGACTGTTGTTGTTGTTGTCATGTGCCATCGAGTCGGAACCGACTCATAGCAACCCCATGCACAGCAGAACGAAACAATGTTCGATCCTGGGCCAACCTCA